TTGACGCTGTAAGTTTTGTAAAATGCTATATTCTAATATTCCTAACAGCTCAGAGTAAGTAAGAATGTTCACAAGAGTTTAAAACCCGTTTAAATTCCTAAGCCCTGCCTATGAAATTATCACCTGAAGGACATATTCATTTCTTCTGAAGTTAGTATTAACCTAAACCTTATTAATATGTAGGTGGGGAAACATTGGAGGATGGTCTCTCCAGTTTAATTAGCCTCTAGTGCTGATTTGTTTTGATAATATAAATAATTAGTTTAACCACAAAATTGATGTAACAGAAAAAATTGTCAGGCAATTAAATACTGCAATGATTTCAGCTCCTGGGAAATATATAGTATGTAAGTAGAGTAATAAAACTGAGATGTACTTGGCTTGAACTACAAAACATCTTCTACTTGATTTGTCAAAAGTATTTTTATGGTTTCCATTTTCTTCATATCAGAAAATAGTCACTAATAAAACTGTACTCAGAATAAAGCCCAAATTAATTCTTGTAGTTATTTTCCCTTTATATTAAGCTTTTACATGGCCTTAAAGTTAAAATATTTTTCTGTTCTCTGGAACTTATAAGTAGTAGCTGTCCATGGCAGTTGGAAGAATGTAATAAAATAATGAGAGATGTAGGTAAATTCATGATAAAATGATGTTTTTGTTATTTCCCTTTTTATGAAATTGATTTTTTTAATCCTGAAAAAATGTATTTAGTTTTCCACATGTGTATAATAGTGTACTCAAAAAATGACACCCACTTTTATTTTTCTTTCAGTCACATTATATTTCAACATTTATAAGTAAATGTTGTATACTTAGTTTCCTTTTTTTACATTATGTAATCAGGTTAGATTTCTCACTAATACTATTTATGATAGTAATAAGGATTTTATGTCTTATTATCAATGTTCATACTACATAATAACCATCTTATATTTGGCTTTAAACCAGATGCATATATAAACCAATGTTCAATTATCAAGACTTTACAGAAGGGTATACTGCAAATGAATAAATGGAAGGCCTTGACCATTAATATCTCCACTCGTCCTGAAGAAACACTACCAAACTATTACCAGAACCTCGTAACTTCCACTCATCATTAATTTCAGATGATTACCATCAATCATCAAGAAATATAATTTTTCTTGGGGCGCCTGTCTGGTTCAGTAGGTTAAGCGTCTGACTTCGGCTCAGGTCATGATTTCACCATTGGTGGGTTCGAGCCCCGGGTCAGCTCTGTGTTGACAGCTAGCTCAAAGCCTGGAGCCTGCTTCAGATTCTGCATCTCCTTCTCTCTCTGACCTTGCCCTGCTCACGCTGTCTCTCTTTCTCTCTCAGAAATAAATAAAACGTTAAAAAAAAATTTAAGAAAAGGAAATATAATTTTTCTGTTCTTATGTATAATTAACTACACTAGAGTGAATATACTGATTTCCAGATGTGATATATGCTAAATTTATCTGAAACTTTCTTGAGTGAATAGATATAATTGCTTAAAATGAAAATATAAGTTCTGTCCTAATTAATTACAATGAAATTTGAATTTAAGCTAAAGTATACAGTAAAGATTATTATTACAAACTAGCATTAATTTAAAATATTTCAACTGGATTTTCCTTCTCTCCTATTCATTCTCCTAGGAATTCTATTATATTCCATTAATTTCCCTATATTGCATACAATTCAAATATTTGTTCTTTCATATTTAATAAGTAAACTCCCTAAAATTTTTACTGATGCATTGATTAATCTTGATCATGTGTAATACTTAAGCATAGAAATCTATCATCTTAAAAATCTTATTTGCATATTTTAATAACACAAAACTAGTTCCCTTTACAAAGGTATTTGGTTATTAACGAATCATGTGAAGGGAGTGGGTATTTGATACAAAATGCCTGCAGAACACCAGGAATATTTTTATTTCCCAATCTTTATGATGTCCTATATCTATGTAGAATAGTAGCACCTAAACAATGCAAAACAAAATAAGAAAGGTTACAATCTGTGTTATTTAAAAGCACCAGAATATTCATTTATCTTAAGAATGGTGTATATGTATCTGTATTATTTCTATGTGCAACAGGGTATAATCTAAATTGGCTATTTATCTATCCCTGGTATTACATGTTTATATTATTAAAATTTTATATGACATATAAAATGTAGAAGCATACATTATTTTATAAATAATTATTTTCTCCATGACATGTCTTCTTAGCAATTACGATGACTTAGCTTTATCATTTGCCTATCAAACATACAGTTGACATTCCCATTGTCTGAATTCACCTTTCTGATTTGTAATTCAATTTTATGTCACTTTGCATGGCAATGAATCTTTTTTTTTTATACGCATTTCCATCTAAACTCCCATGTTTTTAGGCAGAAATAAATGAACAGTGTCTTTTGTGCTGGGCCAAAGTATATCCTGACAAATAGTCTTCTTGAGTCTAGATTCTTGCACTTGACTAAGATGATTAAATTCCAAATAATACTGGGAGGGGCAATAACTGTAAAAAAAGACCATTGAGGGGCACCTGGCTGGCTCAGTAGGCAAGGCATACAACTTCATGAGCTCAAGCCCCATGTTGGATGTAGAGCTTACTTAAAAATTAATAAAGCCTGCCTGAGTGGCTCAGTTGGTTAAGCATCTAACTTCAGCTCAGGTCATGATCTCAGGGTTGGTGGGTTTGAGCCCTGTGACCGGCTCTGTGCTGACAGCTCAGACCCTAAAGCCCTGCTTCGGATTCTGTCTGCCCCTGCCCTGCTCAAGCTCTGACTCTCTCAAAAATAAATAAATAAACACTTAAAAAATTTAAAAGTAATAACAAAAATAAATAATCTACAAACATAAAAAAGAGGAGGAAGAAGAAGAAAAATCACTGAGTGAGTCAATATTAAAAACCAAGCTAATTCACATTATTTTTATTTGAAATTTTAAGAGTTTGGGTAATAATATTTTTTACTTTTAAATATTAATTTTTCTAATGTTTAAATTTATTTTTGAGAGAGAGCAAGTGGGGGCGGAGCAGAGAAAGAGAGGGAGACACAGAATTGGAAGCCGGCTCCAGGTTCTGAGTTATCAGCACAGAGACCCCGCGGGGCTCAAACCCATGAACTGTGAGATCATGACCTGAGCCGAAGTCAGATGCTTAACCAACTGAGCCACCCAGATGTCCCTGGGGAATATTATTTCTAACTTCATTATTCTGAAGACACTAAATTGACCTCTACCTAAATACCCAACTGCCTTTAATATGAATATATTTGATCTTTTACATAACAATAATATTTACTACCTCATATTTGTGAAAGACTAATTTACATAATGTTTCATACATTGCCTCACTTAATCCCTATAACAATAATTTTTTTTCTTTTTTGCTGTAGGTAGCATTATCATTCTTATTCTATACATTAAAGTTATTAATTTTCCAAAGTTCTCACAGATAGTAGGTGATGGAGCAAGAGTTGGACACTGGATCTTTGCAGCCCAAATCTAGAATTCTTGCCCTTGTATTTCACATACAAACTTGCTACTAAGATTATTCAATTAAAACAGTGGTCGTGAAAGTCAGAACTTGAGAGGAAATTTTGAATGTATGGTCGTTGAAAATTTATTTCATATATTTTCAACTTTTAGAACTCTCATTGAACCATACAATAAAAATAATTGTCTGTCATCAAAAATGTGAAATAGTGGTAACAGCTATTCGCCCTGAATCTGTTATTCACAAGGACACGTCTCAACATAAAGGCATATCAGGGCACGGTGGGTGACCTTCCTTTCCCTAAAGGTGAGGATGGATGAAAGGAATTTCTCTCACTGTCTCTCCAGGTGGTTGTACTGTTTGCATGCTGAGCTGCACAGCTTTTAAAGGGCTTGCCCTGGGATATGACTGGGCTGGATTTAGAAGGAGCTGGTCATTGAATAGCTCTGGTAATTCTTGCATCTCACAGCTATGCGGCTGACAGCTCCTTTGGTGGAGAAAGCATGGATATATTTCAAGGTGATGGTAGTTTTGTCCCTCTGGCATCAAGCTGCTGCAACCGGCTTAGCCCATTATCCTCTTCTCCCACTGGATTTAAGCCTGGGAAGAAGTCCGGGGCTTTTGTCAGGATAGAGAGTAAGGGATGGATAATTATTCCCTGTTTGTACTCAAAGAGAACAGCACTATATCATAAAGTAGTCTTCAATTACTGAAATGGGCTTGTCTATATAGTTCTAGTGACTTATAAATCACCCTTTGTTAAAACCAATATTTAACATTATTATTTTAGTGATGTTACACTTTTAATATCTCATATTTTAAGCTTCATTACACAAAACTTTGGAGATAGTGTTTAACATTCAGAGGGTAAAATGCACCTCTATTATTTTACTAGAAGATTTTAAAGTATAGATGGCCACAGTGAGCAAATTGATTGAAAGCTCCACTGTCCAGTTGCCTACACTGTAATTTTTCTCAACTTGACTTTCTTAATCTCACAGGGTAGTTCTGTAAAATCAATGTAAAGCAATTACAAAATTTACAATTCCAGATGTTATTATTGCATTAATAGTTCCTTTCAATGTCCATTCTGGGGAATACCTTTCATAAATACCGCCACCTCATACATACATTAAAAAATAAAATTCCCACAGACCTGAATTAATTAATTATGTAAAATGGTCCTAGCATATTTGAAGGGCAGTATTTTCTGTTTGCTCTCCTCCAGGAGCTCAACATCACTTTCGTTTCCCTTTCAGCCAAAATTATAGTCAGAGATGAGCATTTCAATTTGCAGCTGACAGTTTAGGGTTAAGATATGATTCCAGGTAACAGAAGCCAATGAGAGTACACCCAGTTGATGTTTGTGACATCATCTTCCAGTCGGAGTACATAGAACAGCTGAGGTAGCGTTCAGTTTCAGCCCCAGTGCCATTATGATGGATGTTTACATCTCTTCATTGAGAGCCAATTATCTCGCTTTTGTGTGAGGCCCAAGGATCACTCACGCTGCCAGGCTGCACAGAGCACTGTTGGATCTGGCTGAACGAATTGCTTTCCCTGTCTCTGGTAAGAGCCTCTTCTGTTTTACCTTCTCTTTCAAAATAAAGGTAGATGTGTCTAACAGAGGAAACAGTGTAAGAAACTGGTGTCAGGGTCGAACAGGATTACTATCCGGTAAGCTTTTAATCAGAACAATGTTTAGCATTATTAAAAGGAAAGGTGGATTTAGCAAAATGAATTGAAAAAGAGTCTGCTAACGTTCACCTGGCAAACTAATTTGCAGTGGAAAATGCATGGCAGGTAAATTCAGCTTTTCTTTAGAAAAGGAAAAAAAACCCGCTTTTTGGGATCATCATTTTGAATGTGTTTTTTAGAAAAGACGTGGATGTGTAAACCACTCTGCTCCATTTCTTTATATTTTGCTATTAGTAGCAAAGAGTAGAAATGGTCAATCCCAAGTAGTGTTGCTATAAATTTAAAATGAGCCAAAGTTTCTAATTGTTAAATGATAGTTCTTTGGGACAGTTTTCCAAGTTGTATCTATCCAGGAAAACAAAATTTATCAAGTGAGCAAAGTCTTTAGTTTCTGAAATGAAGTTGTAGTACTTTGTATTTACATTTACTGTTTTTAACCTAAGGAAATAATAAATAGTTTTAAGGAACAGTGTGGGATTTTTTTTTACCAGAATTAAGATATGTTAAATCATTTATTGCATTAAGTGCTTTTGAATGCAATAGCAAAGTACTGTTTTATGTTTGTAGAATATTTAAACTCTGACAAAAAGCTTTCAAATATTCATTCAATCATCTATTTGTAGTGATATTTACACCTGAGGGTCCTTACACTATTAGAGCAAAACAAATTTATTTAGAGCTGTTGAATTGCTGTGGATCTAGGAGATTGAATCTGACAGGGATCCTGAAAAGCAGATACAATAAAAGGTTTTAACTGACCTAAAATGTTCACATGCTACTGAATGAAGAATTCAAAAACACTTTTAATTCCTCAAATATTGTCTATGATCACAGTATAAAGTAGCAGACTATTGTAGTTTTAGAGTCGAATGCATTTATTTATCAAAGACACAGAAAAGTGTAAATAGCTGTTACTTAATTTAACATATTCTTTTATTTTAATGCCATCACCATCTCTTCTAGGGGAATAAAACTTTTGACTAATGACATCCATCAGGCTTCACTATGCTCGTGCTTTTCAGTTTTATTTTTACTTGACTTTTAACAGACTATTTCTGCCTGTGCAAACAAGTAATTTGGATAATTTGAAATCAGGATTTGGAGGGGCTCAAGTTGTACTTCATGACAGCAGGGATTTCTCAGCTATGTCACACTTCTGTCTTTTCTACTAGCCCAGTCCTGTTTGGCAGTGCTTGACATTACTGTTGTTCGAATTGCCTCTTTCAGTCAATTCAGGTCTGAACAAAACTGAGTTTATAGAAAGTGTCAGATGTGTACTAATGGAATCTAAAGCACTGAGCCTATTGTCTCTCACAGAACAGTATATTATCCACCAAACCTCACAAGTTTAGGAATATGCACCTGGGGTTAATTTTTCACAGGAAGACTTAGGTTGGGTATTCTGTGAATTTCAAAATCTAAAAGTGGGATTCCTAAAGTTTTGATAATGTGAATGTGAAAGCATAATGATTCACCACGTTGAAAAAAAAATTTTCCCTTAAGTACTTTAAAGTAGAGTTGAATAACCCAAAGGTATTGACTGTCATTTTCACAGGTGATCAATCTTGACTAAAGGAAAACATTTGTTTCCTAATAATTAATTCTCTAAAAATCTATTTATATCATCCTGTCAACAATGAAGAAAATCTTAGCCAATGAACAGTCTAAACATTTAAAATTGTATTTTCTGCTGAATGCTTCTCTCAGTATTACTGTCTCTAATGACAAATGCATTGCTTTGGTAGGTAGAATTACTCATTTCCTTGTTTTCCTTTGAATGACTTTGTATAACATGGATATACATGATATGATCTCTGGCTGGTTAACATTTTGACAGAAAGGTTTCATTTTTTATTTTATCTTTTAAAGAGGGGGTATCACTGGGATCATAGCCATTTCCCATGCCACAAACTCCCTGGGAAGAACTTTTAGTATAGGAAGCCATAGGTGAAAAATGCATGATGCTACATGTATTGCTGTGTTCCTTGTCTTTTTTTTAACATATATGTCCTTTGTCTGAATTAAGGAATTATCTTTTTGTTTCTTGTGCATTTTTCTTTTCTATATTATCTTATCAGTTCTTTGTATGCGGTGTACCAAGTTAAGTGTTAGTTAAGTGACAGATTTTGTAGTTCTTAAGAGGTGGAAACAGTGCGCAGGGATGAAACGGATTCTATTACCTCTTCTGAAGTTCTCTGCATTTCCCAGAGGCTGAAGGTGGTATATGTATTGTTTTCTTTTGAAAGTGGCTCTTTAAATCATATTATTACCTATTCCAAAATAACATTCTCTATTTTCCTCTTGTGCCTGATTGTGCCTTAATCATCTCTTGGAAATAAGTTTATTTAAGCTCCTTCATTACCTTCTTTTAATTATTGAATACATGGATACCATTAAGTTTTCTGCTTTCTTAATTGAAGTACTTGGATATATCATGACTTCTTTGCTTGTCTTAGAAACTCTGGACTTCCATAGCCAACTTTTTAGTTAAGACAAAAAATATAGTAACCACAATGTCATCTTAGCTTAGGTTTATATTAGTATGCAAATGTATGGATATTTACATGTAAATTTTACATACATGAACAGGTTTATAACACTTTAAAATGTTTAAAGTGTTTTCATGGACATAATATCATTTACTGTCAACAATTGTTCTGTGATAAAGTGACATATTATGCTTTAAAGAAAATAGAGACTAGAGACTAATAGTGTTTTTTTTTTTTTAATATTTATTTTCTTTTTGAGAGACAGAAGCACAGAACACAAGCAGAGGAGGGTCAGAGAGAGAGGGAGACACAGAATCTGAAGCAGGGTCCATCCAGGCTCTGAGCTGTAAGCACAGAGCCCAAGGCAGGGCTCAAACTCTTGAACAATGAGATTATGACCTGAGCCTAAGATGGACACTTAACTGACTGAGCCACCCAGGTGCCCTGAGACTAATAGTGTTTAACTTCTTGCTAAGATTACCTAGCCAGTAAACCAGTAAATGGAAAAGTCAAGACTCAGAAAATGTTTTTCAAATTTCAATGTCCCCAATCAATATTCCTCCCTTCCTCCCGTCTTCCACATATCTGACTAGGTATGTGGCTTGTTCGTTGCTGTAGTAGTTGTTGTTATTGTCGTTTTTGCCTGCTCTGTGCCAAGCACTCATCTAGGTGCTTGGGATTTATTTACCACTGATATATATAAAAGCTCCTTGTTTTTGTGCATGTTATATTATTTTTTATATCTGGTAGACTCTCAACTTTAAATTTACTAAAAATATTTAAAGTATTTCAATGTGTGGTGAATAAAACAGACAGCTTTCTAATACATAAGAAATGTGAGTTGTAAGCAATGGATTTATTTGCATTTCTTGTGTTTCCGTGTATCTTTAAAGTTATCAAGTATATTCTAACCTAAAATGGACTAATAAATACATTTGGGCATTACAGAAATTTCTATCAATTATTTTATAGCTCATATTTGATTCTGAATGTACCCCTGAAACTTTATAAAAATAAAATGACTACCTTGCAATGGATTACAAAAATCATTTGGGACAAAGTTACCTTGTATCTGTAGTTTATATTCAGGCAATACAGCTTTATATTTATCCTCTATTTTATAATAAAGTCCTCAATGGTCATAATACATTGAGTACACAGTTCTTTGGTTTTAGATAGGGTTTCGATAGACTATAAAGAGGAGAGTGAGACATGGATGATTTTTATTTTATTTTAATTAAAAAAATAACAATATTTTCCAAATGACAACAGTTTGTGTTTGAATAAAGCAAATGAGATAATCTGAAGTTTAACATTATTTTTTTCAGTAGTTTGGAACACATTAATAGTGGTTTCTAGAATAGATGAACTAAAAGTGATATTTACTATCCACTGAATTTATTTACAGATGCCCAGTGATTTAAAAGGAAAAAAAAAATGCCTGAAATCTAACCTCCTCGGAGAAAATCAATCTGTACATAGAACCTATCAGTTGAAGATAAACCATTTTCAGATGGTATCATTTAATTAGTCACTGAGGAGTCTATCTAGTGACATACATATAAATCGTGAAACAATTCAAAGTTGCCTGCACACACTTGATTTAGCACAAAATATTTTACTTTTGTAATATCGCATAATAATAAAGTTCTATCTTTGGCCTTAGTCCCTTTACTAATGTGCATTTGAAATGTGCCGAATGAGGGTGTAAAATTAGAGTCCAATAGTTAAGAGCCTGAATTAGCAACATTTCAAGGGATATTAAACTGTGGACGTTTTGCCAACAAGTTTTACAAGGTACTAGGTTTTGAACTTAACTAATCCTACCTAATAATATTCCAGAATTAATTTTGATAATGTGTATGATAAATTATGAACTGACATCAGACTGCATTTTTTAAATGCAAAATTCTACCAAAAGCAGAAGATTGGTTGTTTGTTCTGCGATGCTGATTTCATGGTGAGGAACAGAGTATAGTACAAAGACAGCTTGGTCACAGTCTTCATTCAGAAGTAACCTTCCCCCAATATGCCATGACATACTGTAAAACTCCCAGAGGTGTACCATAGCATTTGAATCAAGGAGAAAATTTTATTTTTGCTAAAACAGAGAATGCATATTGGTACTGCCAACTCAGTCAGATGAAATGCTGAGCTGGGTGAAATTTATAATGTGACATAGAGTGTGATGCAATCTGCTGTGATTGGTAGGCTGGCGAGTTCCAACAACTTTTCTCAATTTAAGTGTGTAAGACTATGATCCGATGAACGAACACTTCTACTAAGCAGAGGAATAAACAGCATAGGCCTTCAAAGACACTCTTGTGTTAGATTCTGTATTTACCTGCACTGTGGTAAGAATATGGTTTCCAGGACCAGATT